CACATCATTCACATAACTCGGTGACGTGCGATGAAAATTATGCCCTGAAATTTGTACAATTTTCAAGTCACTCTTCCTTGGTGTTGCGTTTTCTATGTCAGGTAGAGTAAAGCATGTAAAATAAAATGCTGAAATTACATCTATCAAATATTTTTCAACAAATGCATTCAGTTGATCAATAACAATAGTATGCCTGATTAATTGAGGAAATTTGTGAGTATAACTCCAGTTTCATCAACGTTTAAATGATAAAAGCATGACTTTGAATCACAGAAATATATTTCTCTTTCAAAATGCATTATCTTAAAAATATATCTCATAATGCTGAACACGAATATGATAAAGAGATAAATATAAGTTCATAATGATCATGGACATAGTGAATGTGACATTCTCCAGCAAAATATATAAGAATTTATATAGAGAAGTTCGATATTTAAAGAGAATATTATATAGAGAAGTTCTATATGTATATAGGTTGTTCAGGAAATAAATTCTATATGTGTACAAGTTCGTATACATATAGTTCGTATACATATGTATACGTATATAGGCAGATATTATTAATTCCATGGTATGTATAAAGATTTTTCAGAAAAATAAAAGTCACATAAGTTACAAAATAAATGTGGTAGCTTGTGCCATATATTGTATATATATTTGAGAAAGTGAGCCAAAAGTCTGGGCATATCTGCAAACTCCTAGTGCCAGTGAAATATACACACTGGCATTCTGAAACGCAAAACTCTTGGACATGTGACTGGTCTCAGTTTGAAGTGAAAGCAGTTCTAACTTTATAGGCAAAGAAACGACCACAGTTAAAATTCAGTGATATTATGTAGAGATTTTGACTTCAATGGTATTCTTAATTATTAGAAACTTGTGACAGGAAATGAGCAGGAGTCAGTAAAACTGATTGCAATTAGGATAAATTTGTCCTTGTGTCTATTACAGAAAACGAGAGAATGTCTTTTCTGTCCGAAAAGGAAGCCTTGGGATCAGACAAAAGGACAAATATTTTAAAAAGTCTTTCTTTCAGGTATTTCAGGTAAATCCCAGAAAAAAAGTTAAAATTGATTTCCGCTGCAGAGGTTAGGGAGCAGCAACTTTGTGGGTTTGTGGGGGGGGAACATCGAGTGGGGACTGATGACATTTATTGTTTCTTGAACTATGATGCAAAGTTTCTTGAACTATGATGCGCTAATTCATTGTTTCATGGGAGATGTTTGGTTAGGTGTGTAGTATCTTGGGAAATTTCCCACAGTGGATGAAAATGGAAATACCTTTATTGTTGTTCTTGGGCTGTGTAAAAAAAAATATGCAGCTCCTAAATTTAATGATTTCGTGGATATAATATGCTCCAAAAAGTTTGGCAGACGAGTGATTGACCAAATAGGTGCAAGTGAGGTACACCCTTTTTCAGCTCGCTAATTCTTTGGAAGCCCAAGAAGCCAGCATACAAAGCTACTGTTTTATCTCTAAAAAAAAATTCTCCTGAATTGACACTTGACATCTGAAACTGGAATTTGTCTTAGAAAGTCATGCAAGAGAAAAATGCAATTTCTTTTAGAAAGTTACCTTACTTTGATATAAAAGAAAATTTTATGCTTCAATATTGCCTTCACATAAAAATGCATATAGTAAATGAATCTGATTTATGAAATTGATTTTCATTACTTCAATCAGTATTATTTTTATCTTTTGGGATATGAATTTTGGCAATGAAGCATCTCCTAGATCTGAATAATTCAGAAAAATTTTATACACACTGATCAGATTCAATGGGAGAAGCAGAAAATATAATGAAAAATATTCAAGTACATACTTTTTATTTTGTACGCATACTTCAGCCAGTTCAACATTTATAATTTAATTAAGAAGAATGATATAACACCAAGCAAACACACAGACAGTCATCATTACTGTTCGGCTTTAAAGAAGAAATCTCGCAAAAGTTCAGAGACTGGAATATGAATTGCTCATTTGCATTGACAAGAAAATGTTGGATAGCACAAGATGCTCCAAACAAACCTACCTTAAGTATACCACTTGAGGTAGGTTAGTTTGACTATCGATTTTCATCTAATCCCATTACCTTAAGGTACATAAACCCCTTGTAAAATTTATACTTCTCCTTTTCCTTCTCTTACTTTAAAATGCAAAGGATAGAACAGTTTTAAATCCTTCCATCTACCCCCTGAGGGAATTTTGCATATTCTTGAGAGTATGCATACATTCTGAAATCTACTGGTCTAGACAATACATAGTTGAATGAAGCTGTCCATTCCCATATGACAGGAATGATGTGGGAGAACTGATACTGAGCTAAGATTGAATATCTCAGCTCATCAATGACAGTGAAATGACATCAATGACAGTGACACTTCACTGAAAAGAAATCAATTAAAATTCAATAAAAATCAATTATTTGAAGCATTTATTTTCTACAAGGTACAACTAATGACAGTGAAACCAATTCAGAAATAACCGACAAGAATCAGAGAAAAGATGATTATGACTCTTTGGAATATAATGATATAACAGATCAAGAATCTGAGGAAGTCTTACCATCAAACTCAGATGATAAAAACAATGGAAACTGTTAATTGGAAATGCTGATAACAGAGGACCTTCAAGCAATTGAAGAACCTGGATATGATTTTCATGAATACTCTGTATAGAAGAGACCAGTAAGAGACACAAAAAGCCACCAGAAAAATTAAGACTATATTGGCATACAGCAATATAAATAAAGAATTACTTAAGGCATACGATGAAGCTGTGGAATACGCTGAAAGTCAATATTGGCTGCACAGAATTATAGAATTGAGTTCAATGGATGCTACTAAAGTTTGGGAATTAGTTAAATGACGAAAAGATGGTTAGTGAAAAACAGTTAGATATTCACTGAAAAGGGGGAAAAGGATAATTTAGAAACAATTTACAAAGCAAGGCGAGTAGCAACTGGACTTGATCAAAGAAAAGAAATTAGCTATGAAGATGGATTTAACCCACTAATGAGATTTGCAAACTTTAGCACACTGTTATCGAGTTATTGCTATGACAAATGTTCTTTAATAAAGCTTTTTCTTTCTACGCATTAATTTTCAATGTTTCTTCTTGAAATAGATGTTAGTTAGAAAATACAACATTTAGAAATCATCAACAAGACCCGGAAAGCTTGGGAAATGTCGAGTTACAGATATGTGAAAATTTCGGATAGTGAAGCATATAACAAAATGGAATTCACGTTAGAAAAGCCAAATGAATTTGAAAAAATTTTGCTTGAAAATTTTTTTAAAAAATTACTTGTTATCAACTTGAATATCAAAAGCCTACATTTAAAATAATATAAGATTTTGAGAAAAAAAATGCATTTCAGATGTAAAAGCCAACGTATTTTTTAGGCCTTAAACATGAAAGTGAAATAATCTGCTTTGATTATGAAACACTGGCGAATGCGAAATTTGGCAGAGATGTTGCCAATCAATCCAGCAGAAGTTTAAATGAAAAGATCATTATTTAGTTAGATTATAAAAACATACATATAACAAATATAGCATATAAAAAACTTAAACTGCTTATCACAATATTTTATATTTTATAGCGATTTTTTTCATCCATTTTCAAAGTCATATATCTTTTTTTTAAATGCTTGGATGCTGTAAGTTTGAAAATACTCCACATCCTTTTGCCCTAAATCACAATCCCCCCCCATTTTTTTTCTTTTAATGCAAGGGGAAAAAAAACAGAATTTACATCCACATTTACAAAAATTAAACTGCCTTATCGAGAATTAATTGAGTTTACATTAAACAAAAATTAACTTTTTGAGACTGTGTTGTGACATCATGTTTATCCATAACTGGTGCTAAAACACACTGCTTGACAACAAGGTATTAATGTTAAAAGTATTATAAGGTCTATAAGGGTTAATGGCGTTAAAAATCTCTGATTTACTAACTTTTTCGAGGTTTGGGGGAATCTTTCTAAAATATTCTGGTTACTTAAGCTTTCTACTACTAGAGAATGCTGAGTAGTCAGGCTTTTATTGTAATTAAAGAAATACACACAACATACTGAATGCAAGTCTAGATTTAAAACAGTATTTGAACCCGAATTCAAAAATAAATAATGTACTTTATCACAAGTTCAAAGATTTCTCTGTAAATTTATTATGTATAAAGCACTACTGAGCACTTAAATTATTTCAAACCATACGATGTTTTCCAGTTACTCATAAACTGAAATGATAAATATAATGTAGTTCTTTAAGCAATGCCTGATGAATTACTTCAGTTCAATTCTTTTAAAGTTTTGAAAGGGGTAAACACACAAGCACAGCTCTTTACTTCCAATTTTGGCAATTTATGCACCTACAACACATAAATTTTGAAAGGGTATCAGTTATCATACATGCTTATGTAATGTCTGCATGCTTTATTCAAAAATTTCAATATAAATTTCCTGTTGCAGGCATTTGACCAATTTTTTCAATTTTTCAGTTTAATAAGTTGGACTTACCTCCTCTTGAAAAGCCCCTAATAACTGTTAAAGGTTAAAATGCATGAAAGAAAAGAGAAATGAAAGTACTAGCAATTAAATGCTATATATAACAGATACAAAATTCCTAAATACATATGCAGCTTGAACTATTTTCTCGAAAATGAATTATTTTTATACATATTATGTAAAACCGATTTTACATCATCAGAAACGAACATATATATGCACCCAAAATAATTTTTTTATGTGGCTCAAAAATGAGGGGGGGAACAGTGCTCTTGCAGAGATTATATGAATCAATATTTTTTTCATTTTATTCTTTCCATATAATCAAAGTGTGTATATTATACAAGCACGTACAATACATTAATTTCAAATGCTATGAAGGACAAAATTTATAATGAGACATTGAGGGGGAAGAAAGTTGACAATACCTGTTCTATATTATCATTACAACTAATATTTTTACACAGATTTTAAAATGAAGAGCTTACCCAGGAAGAGATAATTCATGTTGTTTTTCTCCATGTCTATCAAAAATATTAATAACTTCATCAAGGCTACAAAATGAAAACAAAATTGCTCCATGTTAAGATTCTAAATACAAGCACATATTTAAGAAAATCAAATTGCTCATTATAATATCATATATTTACCCAGTTGTAACAAGATAGTTTCCAGAAACAGACTGCCATGAAAACAATAAAGATCCAGATCCATGTGATTTCTTTGGAATTGTAAAAACTCTCTAAAAGTAATAACAGTTAAATTACAAACAAAAATCATAGAAAAACTGAAAATATAAACAACTCTCCTAACACACAGTTAAAGCAAATATTTATACTTCTTCCAGCCCTACAGCCCTATGTACTTACTTTTAAAGTCTTTGAGAAAGAATTACACACATAATTAAGAGAAGAAGGGGAGACAAAGCAAAGTGCAAAAACTAGAGACATTTTGCACATAGGACTCTAGATACTTTATATGTATTTTTACAGGGGGGGGGAGATTTTCTTAACTTTCTATGAACACATAACTTACAGAAATATATATAACTCAAAGCTGACACTTCCTAAACTGAGCTAAAATAATAACAACTAGCTGCTATCAATTTAACCTCAGTTAACATGATTTGTAGCTTTGAAACACCAGAAAGCTTTCACATCTACAAAAATTTTAACAAATTCTCAGTCTGTTTTTCTGGTTTTCTAAATAAACTTTAAAAAAAAAAAAAAAACTCTGCATTGGGATTTTTTTCCATATTTTATAGTGTTGTTATAACAGATTGCAAGCTCAAATTTTTAAATTATGGTTTCCCCGTTTAATACAACATAAAAATATCTAGTCCAACAACCCTATGTATCAGAAAAATGAGGAGCAAGTATGAGCTTGTGAAAGTACCTCACTCTTTCTCTCTCTCTCTATCCTTATAAACTAATTCAGCTTTTGCAACTCCTGAAAAGTTGCTTTTTTGGCGTAATGATTTATTGCAGTAATTATTTATTTTCTATTTCTTTTTTTACACACTCACAAAAACTTTTTAATTTTAATGAAAACCAAAGAGTAATGCATATACCAAGTTAAAATTGATTATGAATATTAGTTTTCCCTAATCTAAACAGCACAATTAAGTCTAAATGTGGAAAATGTTATGTTATGCATATTCTGGGATTATCAAGGAGTGATTTGCTTTGAGCTAAATATGAAAGAAAAAGTAACAGCTTAATTCCATTATTGAATGTTGAATTTGACAAGCAAAAAAGTATAATTTCTCAATACAATATTGACTTGATTAGAATAAAACCATTCAAAGAACTAAAATAATTTAAACAGCACATTTAGGAAGCTTTAACGTGTCACTCCTATTCTCCAGATGTTTCTACATAATTATCATTTGTTCAGATGTTCAAGAAGTATACTTATTGTTTGATTTAATATCATACTATTCTTTAGCTCAAGAAAATAATTTAAACTTTAGAAGCAAGAGAATGAACAGTTACGATTAATGCTGGAGATTATATAATTGCTTCAAAACTTAAAAAATTTAGAGCTGTTTGAAATGTTTCATTTTGAAGCATCAGATTATTAATACACTCTTTTGCCAAAAAACATCGAAGCACCAAGAAGGACTTTTGCGATCATGACGAAATTTGGTATGCAAAAACATAAACTAAACTAAAGATGCCATTACGAGGATATCGAAGACCTTACAGACAGCTAAACGACTTTGAACATGTTTGCGTGAAGTGGTGGTTTGTGTTTGGGTGGTCATACCGAGCAATAGGTCACCACTTGCAGTATACAGACACTGCTGTGCAAAGATGTTTGCAGCAATGGTTGCTACAAGGAAACTGCAAATGAAATGAAGGCTCTGGAATGCAAGGCAAGACGGTGGTTGTTCGCCAGGCCCAAACCGGTCCAACAGTATCATTGTCGACTATTTCAGTGCACTACAGCCACATATATACCTGTCCAACCACCTCACAGCACTTGTTTGAGGCAGGGTAACGCTCACAGAGGGCTTTAAGCTGTTTGCCTTTGATCCCACAACATCAGCGAAGTAATCTGGAGTGGTGTTGCAGCCGGTCAACATGGCTGCCATCAGACTGGCATTGTATAGTGTTCACGATGAATCCCGCTTCGCTCTTGAAGCAGAGATGACCACCGTGTTCGTGTCTGGAGAGAACGAGGCCAATGGTTTCAATCAGCCTTTGTTTTACAAAGGCATAGAGCCATAACCCCTGGTGTGATGGTGTGAGGCGCCATTTCTTATGACAGCATGTCATCTTTAGTCATCCTCCGTACATCTTTAACAGCTCAACGATATGTTGATACCATCCTACGGCCGGTTGCATTACCCTTCATGGCACGTCATCCTGTGGCCATTTTCCAACAAGATAATGAGAGCGTCACATACCCTTCGTATATCTCTGGACTGTCTCCGTGTGGTTAGGTCATCAGACCTTGGCCAGCAAGGTCGATCAGACTTTTCACCAATGGTGAGCCTGTCTGAGACATGGTAGGCCACCAGATTCGAGCCCTACAAAATATCGCAGATCTGGAGCAACAACTGATGAATGCCTGGATGACATTAGGTACCTCTACCACTCCTTGCCTCGATGAATTCAAGCACGCACTGCTGCCAGCTACGGGCGGTTCGACCAACTACTAATTTGAACACTCAATGGGTGATTGTGAGCCGTGAACACGTAATACGACCTTGATTTTTTAATCATTTTATTATCTGGTATATAAGCTATACACATATTTCATTTTGCATAAAAAATAACCATTTCCTTCATGGTGCTTGCTTCGATTTTTTTTTTTTTTTTTTTTTTTTTTTTTTTTGCAAAAGAGTGTAAATATCAAAAACACTTTTAACATCAAATGAAATCTAGTACCTGTTTTTGTATTCCATAGATGACACACTCATATGTTAGACAACCTTGTTTTAAAAATGAAAATAAAGAAAAAATGTCTTAAATTCAACTTAAATCCTTTCAATCTTATGTTCACTGGAATCTTGATAGAATGTTAATGCCAATAATAATATCTTCACACTTTACAGAAAATAAGCAAAATGGCTATAAACGGAGGAGAGAGGGAAAATGGCCCACCAAAACTAAACATATTACACAATCTAAGAAAGATGCATGCAAAAAATAACACAGTTAAGGTTCACAAAAAATACTTTTGCTTTAAAAATTTCTCTAAGAAGTTTAGATCAGATTGAGAGAAAACTCTAAGATTAGAAATAATAATTTTCAGCAGAAATTTGTCCTTAGCCCAGTTTTGTCTTTCTTAGTATAGTAATGGTTGTTAAATGAAGCTGAATTTTAAAACTGTTTTAAGACTGAAGAGTAACCCCCCTCCCCCTAATCATTGCATATTAGTAACATTATGAACTATGAGACTGGTTCTGCTAGCTAAAACTTGTTTTTTTAATTATGGCAATGAAAAGTAAACATTAATCTTAATAAGAAAAAATCCAAGTTACTCAAGGAATAGCAACTGAGAAATGGTGTCAAAGATTAGGATGCAAAATTCAAAATCAGCAAGAAACACACAAACAATCTGTTAGAAAATTATAACATCAGAAACTGATTCTATCAGGGGCGTAGCTAGGGTGGGGCAAGGGGGGACATCTGTCCCCGGGCGCAGTATCTAGGGGGCGCCAGTTTGATATTATGACATTTTAGAATAAAATATTTCCTATTCTTAGCACATAGAAGGCGGCGCAAAATCTTCAGCTGCCCCTGGGCGCTGAAAACCCTAGCTACAGTTCTGGATTCTATCCCCTTTTACAGGATGTGCAAATAGCAACACTGATATATCTTGAAGTGGAACACCTCTCTAAGAAAAAGCCACAGAAATATGTGAAAGGTAGGAGTTGAAAGATTTCAGCACGAAATGGCTGGCTAGAAAAATTTAAGTTAAGGCATAATATAAATTTCAAGATTGTTTGTCAGGAATTTTAATCAGTAAAACCTCAAAAATTTATAAAAGGTTTTGGAAACTGAATGAAATGTTTAATGATTATAAACCTAAGAATGTTTTAATTCAGATGAAACCAAACTGCCAAACAAATTATTTTAAGGGGGAGATGTGCATTGTCCTAACGAGAGTCTTGCCTTTTTGTTCTGCTGCAACAAGGAAGATTCTATAAAATTACTTGTATCTGGAAAAATTAAAATAAATAAATAAAAACAAGTTATTAAAAAAGTGCTTTAGCCATATTAATCCTATAGAATTTAAAGAGATCAGTCAGAACACAACAGACAAACATGAATGACATATAAAGTTTGGTTACTTTCTTTGGATATAAAAAAAATGACAGAATAACACAAAATTACTGTTCATGAATAAAGCATTTTCACATCTTCAAGATTTAAATTTGAAATTTATCGAAATTTTGTTCTTTCTCAACAAGTTATTCTATGGTGTCTATGTCCTTACCATCTTAAAAAATTATTTTTGGAATTGTTTAAACCCTAATGTTATCTTGCCATTACAAATTACACTTTTATAATCTATAATTCTCTCCCCTTCAAATACCTCCTTTATGCAATTCACATCTGATGTGAAAATTAGATATCGTACAGATGTGGAAGGATGGAAGAACCAATATGTTAAATATATTTTTGAATTTTAAAATGTGTTTAAAGTCGGACTGAAAACAAAATAACTGAATTATACTTTTTGAGGGAAGGGGACTCCATAAAAAATATATATATATATATATATAAGTTAGAACATTATTATTGCACATTACAAATGTGCAAAAATACATATGTAGAATCATTATGTAGCTTTTGCAACATTTTAAAATTATACTTTTAATTTTTGAAACTTCAAAAGAGAAAATATTAACATTATTTTTTAGAATAGAATACTGAACTTTAGCAAACCCATTATTTGCTGCAGTGACTTCTAATTCATTAAACAACAATAATTTTCAAAAACTCTTTTGAAAGAAACAATCATAGCTGCCAATCTTTAAATAGGAAAAACTGGTAGTTTCCAGGAGGTTTTTTTTTTTTCCTCCCCTACACTGCAGCACCATTTTAAAAGAACATAAAATTCATTTTATAGCACAATTTACAGCACACCAGTGGCCAAGTCACATCACTACCTTGGCGAATGGCCTAGCTCCTTGGGTGTTTTCTTGGTTTCTCCCATATGTAACTTATATACAAGACAGTTTCCCTTAGAGAGCTCTCTATGAAGGTATCCCTTCCCTTACGCATA